AAACTTTTTGTACTGATGAAAACCGAAGGAATTTGGAAAGTAGTTCTAGACATGAAATACGCAAAGCATGGCAATAAGCACAACGCAGAAGAAAACATCAAAAGCTTGCAAAGGAAAACTATGCTACCTAAGAGAGTACTTTTTGCGTAAGGTTTCCTTAATCGTTCTTCACTTGCGTTTTAATGAAAGCTATGGTTTTTGCCTTCATGTGCTGGGCACTACGAAGGACAAGGTCAGCTAGTATTAATGTATCAGTAGCGGTGTCTACCGAAAGTAAAAGAAAGTTTCATTGAACTACTTTGCTCTATCAGTAGCTGTTAATGAACCAAGGGTCATTTTATCCAAATTAGGCGCTTTGTCCCTGTAAAAGAATTTTAACATTTCCTTTAACACGTCATGATCGATATCAGTTGTGACCACAGGGTCCAGTTTGCTTTCTTCCATTTCATGTTCAAACATAGCAGGAAAGCGGTCCTAGAAAATGTATATAGATATGTATGTATATATATGTATATAGATATGTATGTATATATATGTATATATATATATATATATAAATTGTGTGAATATGTATATATATGTAAAGTATATACATATATATATAAAATTCTCGATTCTTACGTCCAATTATAGCGATCACTTCACTACGTTCTTACACGCTTAATTAGCAGTTCAATTAGGGAAATTTGTTGAGCTGCGAACAATCGCTACATAATGTATATTTTATGTAATCTATATACATACACAGCTATACACATCTATCTATTAAATATATTTGGTATAATAAATATAAATATATTTTGTACATTAAACTCCTCGCAAGCTGCATGTTTGTGTAAAAATTTCGACTGCAACTAAATGGGCATAGTTCTAAGGTGACCATATTTACAAGAGACCGGCGCAGGATGACTTGGTAGGAAACGTGTGCTAACGAAGAGAAAATTGAAAATTTAATTTGACAGTAGTCAAATTATTCTCGCTGTCCAGATGCTGCCTAAGGACTGTCTACACACTTCTCAAATACCGCCAATGTAGGAAATTTTTAATGCTGCGTGACATCACTTCATTAAATGTGAACTGCGTACTTCTTGACTTTTTGTGTATCATGAACAATGTTTGTTTTTCGCTTTTCCCAAAAATTTAGCGAGGTATGGAACTAAGATTATCCCAAAGACTTGTTTGTCAAGAACCTAGGAAATCATGTAATGTAGGCATGGTCGAGATCATACAAGTAATAAGTGTTCAAGGTATTTCGCTTATAATAAATACATAATATATTGACTTTTATTTTCGATTCGTGCCTTACGTGAAACTGAATTTTATACAAATTGTTTTTTCTTTTCTTTATTACTTCATAAATCATTGGTGTCAAGAGATGTACGCTACTGAAAACAGTTCGGATCGGTTCACTTTTTCGACCACTTCCCCTCTAACACCATATTCTGAAAAGTCGCTATGTGGAAACAAATTGAAATTTTCAAAATTTCTTAGCAAAAGTGGCTAAGTAGTCGGATTTCAGCATTCTGAATTTGTATGAAAAGTTGATTGACCGGCTGGGGCAATTTTTGGACCCCCTCTTATACGACGAAAAACTGAAGTTTATATGACAACAAGGTTCATCCATTTGAACCATCTTGTTCTATTTTCTGGATCCTACTCTATACATAGATTTTGACGAAAATTGATTTTTTGTAGGGCAGAAAAGTGCAACTTTTAACATGTGGCAATAAAAATTGGTCCATAACAGTAATTTAAGATCAAAAAGGCAACTGTTCCAAATTTGGACCGCCCATGCCACCTCTTTGGACTTTTTCAAAATAAAACTTTACATATATATGAAGTCATCATAGAAATGGTCCAAATTAGTCCATGTTATGTAGCTTTGATTTTTGGATCAGACGTACTAGCGTGGCGCACTTTATTAAAATATCTCGAAAATTGCGACCTGTAGATTGAAATTAACATTATATGGCGAGGTGGGCAGATTTACTTATCTGTCACCCACACAAACTTAACATGCCCTTACCCCAAATGGCCTGAATTATAACAAATGACATTTCATGTGAAAGTAAAAGTATTCTAAGCTTACGCTTGGGAAGCATTAAGAGCAAGAAAAAAAGGGAAAACCAAGTGGAAAATGGAAAATTTTTTAACATAAATTTGTGATAATTTAATTTTGCGTGAGCTATCGGAAATTGAAAGAACGAGTGACGATAAAAATTGCTTTATCGACAGTACTTCCCATAGGCGTAACAATGTGTTGGAAAATTAATCTCATGTTTGTTTTATTTTTATTTTATAATTTATGCTTGTTCGTGGCGATATTTAGTAATACCTGAACGTCTCTGCCCTTTAAGGCTACTGAATATATATACATATGTATGTACTGTTTTTTTGTTTAAAAGTTCTGTCAGTCGTGGTTTAAGGTGTAAAGTTTACAAAAAAAAAAAAGACTTAGTGTACATATCTAATATCTTTTTTTAATTATCTCTCCTCAACTGGCTTTTTAAGTCTTTCTTTAAGTTGACCTTTATTGCAGTCTTGCATAAATGTGATGAACTTTAATTTAATATATGAAAATGTTGGAAAAACGTTTCTTTATCCATCGGCACGTAAATGAGTTTGGTTTTTTCGCTTGCAATTTCTCGAAATACTTGCGTCTGTTAGTAGCAGCCATTAGTTATTTTGTTCTTGATTGTAGTGGTTTTTGTCCACGAACATAATCACCTTCCACACAAACTTCAAATTACTAACTTTCGAATAAAGTAAGCAAAAGACAACAAAAAAAAAAAAAAAAGCCTTTTAATCACTTTAGGTGCACTACTATGCCTCTAACAATTCGGTGACAAGTTTTATACCCTCTCTTCTCTCATTCAATTTGTGATAATTTTTCTTAACGGTATCCCGGTGTTAAGGAGAAGATCACAACTGTTTATGCTCTCTATATCGCCACTGGAAATGATTGACCTAACTAAAGAATAAGCAAAGCAAGGATCTAAGATTTAGTTTATTGAATTCCATAAAAAAACCCTCTTTTGCCTAAGATTCTGTTGTTGTTCTTCATCGTTATGTACTTGATTATTTGATCCACTTTTATTCTTTCTATTCCGGTATATTCATCGAGCCGCGTTTTCTTTAGGAATCAAGTTGCGTTCAAGCGCAATAAAATGGTCAATAAGCGATTATCGATGATGTGTCCGGTATCTGAGCAAAGTTTTACGAAAGAAATACTTCTTGGGTAGAAAATCATGAAAAGTCAGTTAAACAAAAAAAAAAAAAAAATAAATAAAAATGTGTTGCGAAAAGGGCTGGGGTCAAATCAACGCTTTTGTTTACGGAATAGAGTTGAAAGAAAAGAATAACCTTGTGTGGGTAGGAGGCAAACGAAAAGTTGTAAACTTGGGAGCAAAATATATGTAAGTACATTTTAAGAAACTATGCGGTGCGATGCTTATTTGCCACCTTAAAGGGGTGATGAGCACAAATATGCTGCAATTCAGTAAATGTTGCATATTCCAGACACCGTCTTCCTTAACTATGATATTTTCATTGAAAAAAAAAAAAAAAAAAAAAAACGAAAACAGTGATACAAACATTTGCATGCAGTAAAGTTTATTTAAATTCTGTTATACTTTCTTTAAAAGCTTATGGCTAAGCAATAAACGCAAAAATGAATCATAATTTGGAAGTAAAGTTCACAAATACTTCCTGTCTGCTATTTAAATAGATAACTAAAATATATATTTATAGAATATATGATAATGTAATTAATAGAAATTTATCGCAAATGATGCCATAGATGAAAACCGGTTGATGGATGATTTTGGTGGCAATTAAATGGTCAGTCAATATGTCATTGAAAAACTATTTGGGTTGCTTTTATGTATACACACGTTTATACATATTGTCGTATATGTATAATATGCAATAATTTTACTGGTAAATGTTTGTCTTTGTCTTCTTGTTGTGCACTTCGAACGTTAAGAGTGTTGGTCTTGTGTTGAAATGGTATGAACTGTGACCTTTGATGAATACGACATTGTATGGTATTGTCTGTGCACATGCATGGGTATTTTTACATCATATATATATATATATAAATATATATCTACATACACACGTCTATACATACATAAAAACATATATATATATATATATGTTTATATATATGCGTGCGCGCGCGTGTGTTTATTCGTATGTGATTGTATGTGTTGAAAGGTATGTTATTTTATTACTGTTACCAACCTAGGCTAACAAATACATCATCGATCTTATGAATTCACTTTTTGAAGAGCTTTTGCTTTGCTTTGCTTTGCTTTAGTGAATCTTCTTTAAATAATAATAACAAGTACTAGCCAACCATATACTTGCATATACGTTTTTACATCTTTACATGCATGCATGCATGTATATACATATATCTACTTAAATATTTTAGTATACTGTGAATTAACTTCTTCTATGTAAAGATGATGTAGTAATTGTTGTTGTTGTTGTTGTTGTTATTATTGTTTTTGTTATTGTTTTTGTTACTGTTGTCAGTTGTTAGTGTTGCTGTTTCTGTGTGTGTTTATACTGTAATCTATCTATTGTAGAAAATTTAATATTGACACCAGTACAAAAATGATGAATCTTTTAATCAATTGACAGGCTGATATAACGATTATTCAGCTAAATGCATGCAAAATATTATATTGGTCCAGTGTCAATAAATCATAAAAAATCTGTAGGGTTAAAGGTGAAGGTCTATCTGCTCATTGCCCATATACTTGTTTCAATTCGATTTACGAATAATGAAATCTTAGAATAATGTTGTTGACATTTTCTTTGGGTGTAAGTCACTGGATGGCATGTCTCATTTTAGATGCACGCCGAATGCAATGCAATTCTATGATGCTGCTGTTGTGATTAAGAGATGCGCAAAACTATGTATCAAAAACTAGCTTTTCCCTTCAGCACAAAAAAGCGGCAATTTGTTTGCCATATAAAAGCCGACTGACTGTCAAATGAAGCTATCAGTCGATCGTTGTTGTCGTCACAAGCAGAAAAGTGTGATAAAAAAGCAAAGAATAAAAATAAATAAATATATAAATATTTAATAAAGAATCAAAATATTATTTAAAAACATTTCACGTAAATTAAGATAAACAAAATAAAATAACCATGAAATTATTATTATTTGTCACCTTATGCGTCCTCGTCGCGTTGGTCTCAAGCGCTCCTGCCCCCCAACAAGAAGTGCAAATTGTCGAATATGAAAATAACAATGATGGGACAGGCAACTACAATTACAGGTAAGAGTAGTGATGGAGAAATCGATGGAGATGTTGTCAAAGAGACGATGATAAAGAAAGAAAGAACCGTAGCGAGGGAGAGTGAGAGGGTGAGAGAAAGAGAAAGAGAGAGAGAGAGAGAGAGGGAGAAGGAAAGAGAAACAGAAAAAAAGTATGCAGTAACAACAATATATATATATATATATATATACATACATATATATATATATATATATATATACATACATATATATACATACATATCGCAAACAGCCATAATATATATAATAGTAACGATAATCATAAAATGATTTTCAATAAAATACATGCGCTGTTCACCTTGACGGCTTAAGTAAATCCTTGCCTGTGTTTTCTTCTAATGCTAACTGATGATTTCTTTTCGCTTTACTTTAAGATTCGCATTAAGTGACGGCACTAAGCAAGACGAAACCGGACAATTGAAGGATCTACAAGGTGAAGATGGTCCTGTTCAAGCTGTTGTTAAAACTGGTTCTTATGAATTCACCGATTTGGACGGCAAAGTCCATAAAGTCACTTACACGGCTGACGAAAATGGTTTCCATCCCGTAGTGGAAAGTTAAAGTCTTTAACCAAGTGAACAAAATAAACATACATACATATGTGCTCCTATATATACAGAACAAAAAAAAAAAAAAAAAAAAAAAAAAAAAAAAAAAAAAAAAAAAAAA